ATTTGGCCTTGTTAAACTTCATGAGGTTAGACCACATACTCTTTAGCAACAAAACCAGCTTTTTAACAGGAAAGGATGTAACTTACTCTGGTATTATGGTGCTTTTACACAGCCAGAGTGACACAGAGTCACATCAGTGTAAACAAAAATTAGATTTACCGCTGTATTTAAGATTAGTGTAATTTACATGATCCTCAGTGAGGCTTTAAAAAGAATGTTAGTTAAGAACAAATTATGTGGTGTTTTTTCAACATTTCTCCAAGTAAATCCTACTCAAAGCGCATTTATTGATTTAAATAATGCACCAGTGATTTAGTGCTTACCTAAAATGGTGTTATGTATTAATTCACCACCCTGCTTTCAAAAGTCTGCTCATTAGAAGCCCCGTGTCTTATAAGAGAGAAGAATCATAGGCACTTAAGCTAACCACATGAACATTATCTGAGCTGGAGAAAGAGAATTAGCTGCACTACCACCATGCCAAATGTAGTCATGTCTGCAAGCTTGTATATCTTTCTCTGTTCCAGAAAGAAAGTTCAAGAGATAATGTGATTAGAGATTCTCACATACTGTAAACAGGCTGCCACAGCTGTTGGCACATAGCACTTGTGGTTTGATGCAATTGTCTGGAAAAAAAAAACGTGCTTCTGAATAACTCAAAACAATTTTTAATATTGACATTAGGGTCTTCTTACCGAGCAGATCCAATCCTTCCAACCTGATTGCTGTCTGATGCCAGAGGTTTAAGCAGGGTAAAACCTGGATCTTCTGAGTGTTCGGAAAGTGGTGTATCAGCAGCTTCTGAACCTTCTTCTTGATGGGCAGATTTCTTCTGTTAATGTTGGAGCAGGTTATAAAACCAATTACACAGTTTAAAGGAAAATAGCTGCATCAATGCCTAATCAGCAGCTTATGATTATTGCTACAAGCATGCCAGAACTTTTGATTCACAGGACCTTCTCAGAAACTTTTCTTTAGTTTTTTGTTGATTACAGGATGGAAACAAAGCAAAAGTCAGTAAAAAAGGAGCAGTTTCATATGAAATCATCGGGTGCACACGGTGTTGCTAGAGAACCCACAGCACAGCACCACCACTACCAGTACCAGCACAGTTGGTTTGTGACCCTAAATCAAGTTTTATCTTTGGTTCAAAGCTCTAACCCCCATTATTGAGGTATCTGACAGATTCACAATCTCACCATAACCCTATGAGGGTTTTATATCAACAGGAATTAGATGTCTAAATACTCTAACAAAACCTGACTGTAAGATACCAGACCACACGAGAAGCCTTTGGCAGGTTACTGGACTGCTTCTCAATTCCTGTGCCTGTGCTCTGGCAATAGCACCACCTTGTCTCTGTCAGTTTGCAACAGTAGACCATAAAAATTGAAAACATTTTTAACATACTAGTTCATAAGGGGCCAACCTTCCCAATTCTTTCATCTCTACAATGAAATTTCCATATGCCTGTAGCCTATCAGGCTCTTATCAATAGCTTGGAGATCTGAGGAAGTTTTTGAAGTGGTTTACAGTGGGAGAGGAGAATAAATCCCATCACACTTCCTAAGGGGATGTAACTGGGTACCATGGCAGCCTGCTGATGTTGGCCTCACCTATGTTTGCTTGCTTCCTTCAGCAGCCAAGGATGTTGACTACTGAGATGACCCCATTGCAGTCCAACTCTTGCTGTCAGTCATGTGACAATTTTGACATGGAGCCACATGTGGATTTGATTGATATTTCTATGCTTCCTGCTGCTTAAACAGCTTGAAGAAAAGTTATGTATAAACAGGAAAGAAACTTAGGAGTTACAAAAGAGAATTCCTGCTTTACCATTCCATCAAGAGAGACTTGTCAGTAGGACAGCTATTAGTGTCTCAAGCTAGCAACATCTCAGATAACAAGGGAGAAGGATGTGGAAGAGCAGATCTACAATGATTACAAAGTGTGCTCCTCTAGTTAACTTCTTCTGGCTGTCTACTATTCACTACCTGAAGTGTGAGTTGCTCCATCTTCTTTTCCAGCTCTTTAATCTTTGCTTCTCGTTCACCCACCATCTGTCTGAGCTGCTCTATAAGGCAGTTTTTATGCTGAACATCATTGTTCAAGTGCTGCCCTAGCATCTGGTGGGACTCCTTGTTCTTCTCATCCTTCTGGCTCAAGTGCTTTAAGATCTCCTGCATTTGCTTCTGTTGGCTCTGACAAAATAGAAACAATGAGTGAGATCTTCACTTTTGTACACAATGATTATTAAGACTCCCCTGGGTGTTTTACACCCTCCAAGACAAAGACCCATTTAGGAACTCTAGGGCAAGCCACTGCCCTGCCAAACCCATTCCTTGGTGTAAGCACATTGATGTCACTAGTCTACTCCAAGAATTTGGTCTGTTATGTTTTAAGCATGAGATCATCTTGTCTTGTTCTCAGCATCTATCCCTTGAAAAGACTGCACAGCAGATCTACTTCCAACACCCAGACACCTGTGGCCAGGTAAGGACAATCTGTCCCCAATGGACCTTGATGGTAATATCAAGACTTTAGTGATGGGACAGTGCAAGAAGAAAAGACCTGAGCAACTGAGATTCAGTTTGCTGGCAGCTTTGCTCCTGAGTGTAGCAGAAAAGTAAGCAAAAAAAGGCTGGATAAAATCATCATAATAGAATCATAGAATGTTGTGAGTTGGAAGGGACCCACAAAAATCATCTAGTCCAACTCCTGTCCCTGCACAGGACAATCCCAACATCCAGACAACGTGTCTGAGGGCCTTGGCCAAATGCTTCTGGAATCTTGTCAGGCTTGGTGCCATAAGCACCTCCCTGGGGAGCCTGTTCCAGTGCTCCACCACCCTCTGCCTCAAGAACCTTTTCCTCATGGCCAGCCTCCCCCTTCCCTGCCACATCTTCCTGCCATTTCCTCTGGTCCTAAAATTAAATATTTCAATTGGCTTTCATGTGAAATGAGAACATGATCGGATTGTGTGATAGTGACATTATAGATGAGAGTTGTATGAGACAACTGTTATGAGGTTAGGCTGTTTTACCAGTGGGTTTTGGAGTTTTTCTCACACTGACAAATCTAATACTTGTCAGACAGTTTGTTCTGTCAGGCCAACAAGCTGCAAGGAAGGTGCTACTTTGATGTGAGGGATAAAACAGGTTAACCATTCCTTCCCAAGTAAACTTGCTGGGTATTTCTGTAATCATTTTGGTGAGAATGCTCAGACTTAGCAAAAGTGACAACTGTTATTTGGCTCCTCTGTAATCTGCCTAATCTGCTGGTTAGTACCCACATTCCCCATGGCTGCCTGGTGTGCAGAAGGGTGAATGCCAGCTTAGTCATAAGCATGTCTTAGCTAAAACCTACGTAAAGAAGCAAGGAAAGGTAAGAGATCTGAAAATTGTGAGGAGGTGGATCAGGAAAAAACCCTACTAAGAAGTGGTATATTTTCTAATTTATTTCTTTTTCTTCATTATTGTAATTGGGGAAGACTATTTAGAACCATGGCAGGACAAAAGGGTCCTGCAAGACCGTGACACACCCATTTATTCCAGCATAACTTCATCTTCAGTCTCCACTAATACTCTTGGTTTTGAAGGGGCCAAGTCCTCTCAGCTCCAGCTACTACAAGTGAATGTCCACCTGGTTTTAGTACTCATGGTTCAGCTTGTGTGTTCTGGGCTGTGTAACACAACCAATTAAAGTGCAAGATTGCAGGCAATTTCAGAAAAAAAAAAAAATAAAAAAATCTGCCAATGGAGCTAAAAGCAGAACAGAGAATACAGTCCAACTTCACAGGTCAGGAATGAAGTCCTTCCTCTCCCTACTAGATAATCCTGTTTAAATCCTTCTGCAAAATGTTTCTTACAACACTTGCAGCTTAAAGCCACTTGACTGTAACTATCTCACTCCTGGTGCTGTCTTGCAGCTTTTACATGATCTGATCCAAAATGAAGGGCTTTAGCCTACTAGGAAACCTTTGTCTGTCACAGTTTGATTCATCAGGCCCCTTTATACCCTCAGGTTAGCTGTGTCATCGTGTCATTAAATGACATCACGTTTCATCAGTACTAATCAGACTGTACCAGTAAAGCATCTATGAGCTCATCGTCGTGTTTTCCTTTCTCCAGCAAGGTTGTGATCTGTCCCTTCAGGTTTTTCACTTCACTGCACAGAACTTTGTTCCTGGCTTTTGATGCATCAAGTTTTTTTTTCACTTCCTCGTGACTTTTTTGCAGAGCATCATGTTCCCCAGTGAGTTTCTGCAGTAATGCAAACACGTTATAGGAAATGACAGTTATAGCCGAACATCAAGACCCAGGTGCTTTGGTGAGCTAAAGAAATCACACATTCTCTGGTAGAATTCAAAAAATGGAGCTTGCATACAGCTTGCATACCATATAATCCTTAGGTAAGTAGGAATTCTAAATGTCACTACTCACTGCCTGCTTGCCAGCATGAAAAAGGGTCAGTCTGCTCAGGAATACAAGTAGGCTGGGTTGATTCAGTATGTGCCAGGAAGAAAATTATAATTTTGTGTTAACATCCAATTCTGTATGCTCCTGTTTTTTGTTTTTTTTTTTCATTTGCCTTATTATTCTCCATGGGGAAACTCTCTTCCTTCCAGTGATGATGTCATGCTATCTACTAGAAGCTGTTCTTGGCATACACTGCTTCCTGTGACACGCCTTTGCCTAGATGAAACTGTCCAGGTAGCATGCTAGGAGTTAAGTAATGGACAAGTACAGGGGAAGTTATTGTGAACAGAGCCTGAAACACAAAGGCAGAAGTAGAACCATGTGTAGATTACAGTTATTGAGAAAGCATTCCCTGTTCTGTGTGCCTGTAGCTATCAGTCTTCTCTTTCATTCTCATGGCCAGGAGTGAAAGGTGTGTATTACCCCATTGCTCATTCTGTTGCATTGTTAAACTGTGGTGAGAAATGCAGCAGCTAATCAAGCTCTGAGATGGTGCTAGATGAGCTCTACAGGGGTAAACACAGGGAAGAAGCACAGGAAGATGTGCTTTGCTTTGCTAACCTCAATATCTATAGCTGACCTCCACCTGCCATGTTTCTTGAGGACACAGGCCTACCTGTCCTTTCCACCTCTGGTTTTACTCCATGTGCCACTAGCTATAGCCTCTCTCAACCTCTAAACACTGGATACCTGTTTATTTTTGTACCAGTTACACCTGATGGAGGGTACGACCCATCCTCAGAAAGCCTCTTAAGAGTGTTTCTGGTGTAATTCTCAACTTTATTCTGTTCAAATGCAGAAGCCTGTAACTATAGCGATACATGAGGTGTGAGGGGGGTGCTTGTATTTAACATTGCTTGAAGAATGTACATCTGGACACAGGGAGAGGGGGACGCTACAGAATTTGGACGCAACTGTAGCTTTATGCTGAAGGATATATATGCCTTCAGGATAAAGCCAGTACCAGCTGCATGGCAACCCAGGGCCTCTTTCTTAAGGTCACATATCATGCACAGTTGTCAGGTGGTCTTATTTCAGGTCAAGTCAGATGCATCTGACACATGAATCATGCAGCAGAGGGGAAGACCAGATCTTGTACTGCAGAAGCATACAAGAGTGCAATAGAGAAAACAAGTGTGGAACCTTTTTGCTCAGTCTGTGAACTGTGGCAGAACTTCCTCCAGCAGACTGGGTGGGTTTCTGAAATGGTCTCCTGGTAGGGTGGAACATACACACTGAAGGTAAGGCAAGTGATTACACATTATATACCCAAACATGACTCTGTTACCTAACAGGTTTTTACCTCCAAGGTTTCTTTCTTTTCTTTTTCCAAGCTGTGAATCTTCAACAAGTTCTTCTCTCTGGCTGACAACTTCCTTGGATCAGTAAGTGCCAGCAATTCCTCATCAATCTCACTCAGTGATGTTCTGGTCTTGTTTTGACCCAACTGATTCTCCAGCTCTCGAACCTAGGGGACAATAATGACAACTCATCCAGAGCTTCTACCGGGAGTACATTGGTCCAGCACCAAAGAGGACACAACCAAAGGGAGCTCAGAGTGTAGCATCCTATTACTTCTTGACATTAGCATGGTTAACTAACACAGAGCAGTGTGTGTTGTTTCAAATTTAAATTTGTTAGCTGTTAACAAACATGGAGATGTCTTGGGCATCTGTGCAGGCAGGAGATGTGACACCAGACCTACAGGAGACTCAGGACACATGGGAGATCTGTGCCTTATTGAAGCAACATGGGGAGGCCAGGCAGACACTCCAAAGCATCTGCAATGCCACTGAACATATGTGTTGGCAACAGAAAAATACCTTAGATCTCCTCTGAAAGGGCAGATGTCTCCTCATCTATATACATTTAAGCATCTTGGTCTTTGGTAGAATCACCATCCAGGATGTCCACAACATAAACATCTAAAGCACAGTTCACTAGCTTGACCATAGGTACCAAGTGCTGTTTGAGATGCCCTGGAGACACATATGGATCTACAAAACACCCATACTCCTCTAGAGAGATGACCAGAGGTCAGAGGGACATCTCAGCTGGCATTAGACACCTATGTGTGGTCAAGTGAACTCAGCTCCTGCATCTCAGCTATTCACTACAGACTTCTTTTACAGTCAGTGGAAGGAAACAGGCACTGCTACAGCACAATTCCTCTGCCCTGTTCTGGAGATGTCTTCTAAGATAAGATGCACCTACCTCATTTTTGAACCAGTGACTGTATTCACAAGATCCCCAGTGACTACAGAAGGGGCCTGAGGAGACTGGCTCAGAAAAGAAATTTGTACATTACAGTAGAGTACAGTATGTACAGTCTTCAGATGAATCCCAGTCAGGAGGTTTAATAGAAAGAAAATGTAATATGCTCAAGGGATAGCAGAGGTTAACAATTTCAGTCAATCAGAGTGCAAAAATCACAGTTTGTTGGCATATAATTAAACAGCAGAAAAAGAGGAAAAATGTGTATCAAATTGCCTCAGAGAAGTTTTATTCAAGATACAGACAAAACTGCCTCCCTGTCTCAAGCTGACATTTCAGTTAGACTGTGCCCTTCAGAAGACAGAAGAGTTAAAGATTTTACTGAAGTTCCTGGGGGAACCACTTGAAAATCTTATCTGGCCTCAATTCTTCCTGACTTTAGGCACTGAACAAAGGTGTCCGAGTTAGAGCACAGACACTGACAGGGCTCCTTCTGTACTCAGTGGAGAGAGGCACCTTCAAAACATCCTGGGATTTTAACTAGGCTGCTAGAGCTCTCCAAGGTCACTGAACTCTCCTTCAAGGCAGATGCAAAATGTTCTCAGTTTAAATACTGAAGCTTCCATGTTTGCAATAATTAATATTGTTTGCAGGAACTCTGAAAGACCCTGCACACGTCAACACATATTTAAAATTTAACACCCCACCACCACACACACACACACATACCAAAAACCTATTACAAAAGTTACCATCAAGTGTTTTATTTTAACAGTTGCTTTCTTCAAGGCAGAAAAGACTGAACCACGTAGTTGCAGTAAACACTGTACTGGGACACACCTTATAGGCCAGTATAGATGTTAAGAATTACTTAATGAAGAACTAAAAGTGAGGTAATATCTATACTTAGTGCATCCCAGCACTTAGCTTACAAGGCACCATGTGGGGTCTTCACTCACCTTGCTTTGGAGAACAAGAATCTGCTGGGCTCGTCCACGCCAGCTGCCAGAATTGGCCATGAGACTTTGAATATTGACATCTTCACCAACTTCATTTGCTAAAAGCTAAGAAAAAGGGATTAACATCAACAATAAGGCTAAGCTTAAATACATGTGTTGGGGAGAGGGGAGGAAAAGCTGCTCTCTCTAGCAGTAAACACGAAACACTGCATCTATACATAGTGGCCTGTGTCTGATATCCTGTATCCCATGTGATCTCAGCTCTTTCAGACCATTATTACAATGCAGATTGTTGGTGGTGAGGAGGAGGTTGGCTAACATGATGTGATAGTTTAACTTGGCTGGCAGCCAAACATGACACAGCTGCTCACAACCCCTCCCTTCCCTCCTTCCCACACAGGGATTCAGGGAGAGAATTGGAGGGGTAAAGGTAAGGAGACTTGTAGGATGAGATAAGAACAATTTAATAATTAGAATCATAGAATCACAGAATCATAGAATGGTTTGGGTTGGAAGGGACCTTAAAGCTCATCCAGTTCCAACCCCCCTGCCATCAGCAGGGACACCTTCCACTAGACCAGGTTGCACAAAGCCTCATCCAGCCTGGCCTTCAACACTTTCAGGGAGGGGGCAGCCACAACTTCTCTGGGCAACCTGGGCCAGTGTCTGACCACCCTCACAGTGAAGAATTTCTTTTAACCGTCCCCTCATTCAGTTTAAAGGCATTTCCCCTTGTTCTATCACTAACTGCCCTTATAAAAAGTCCCTCCCCAGCTTTCTTGTAGGCTCTTGTATTGGAATAAAATAAAATCAAAATAGTAATGACAACAATAATGATAACAAATATGTATATATATATAAAATGAGTGATGCATGGTACCATTGCTCACCATCCGCCAATAGTGATGCTGGAGGAACAAAAAGGAACCCTGAACCCAAAACCACAACCCTGGAAGAGTGAACCCGAGCGATTCCTGAGAGATTCCCCCTCCTTTCTGGTCAACCCTCATCAATATACTGAACAAAGAATGGTTTGGGTTGGAAGGGACCTTCAAGATCATCCAGTTCCAACCTCCCTGCCAGCAGCAGGGACACCTTCCACTAGACCACGTTGCTCAAAGCCTCATCCAGCCTGGCCTTGAACACTTCCAGGGAGGGGGCATCCACAACTTCCTTGGGCAACCTGTTCCAGTGTCTCACCACCCTCACAGTGAAGAATTTCTTCCTAATATCTCATCTAAACCTACTCTCTTCCAGTTTAAAGCCATTTCCCCTTGTTGGGAAATCTTATTGCCATATCCAACTGTCAATTCTGGGTTTTGCTAACTACTACACTTCCCTCTCCCAGTCCTTTGCACTTGCAAACTACCCAAACATGGTGTCCTTGTACCTTATCTACATTCTTCTCATAACAAATCCCACACTGAAACCAAAACACAGCTACTCTAGCTACTAAGAAGAAAATTAACTCTATCCTAGCAAAACCAGGAGATATGAATGGTTTAACTTGTTGAGGTGGTTAATTCAGTATTTTGATAACTTTGAGTATTGTTCTTAGGTTTTTTTTAAACATGTGAACCCGTGTTTTCCTGCTTGCCTATGGAATGTGCCAAATTATACTATCTAGCTGTATAGCTGGGTGTCAAACTGTGCTAGTTTTGTAAAAAAGAGGACTTCAAATTCACCACCAAGGTTTACTAAGCATTACTAACAGTTTTCAATATATGTAATTATCTTTGATATAATGAATACTTAACTAGAACTAAACAGGAACAAAGTAGAGATACTGTCTTAACACACACCCTTGCAATCAGGCATTGAGCCAATCTCTCCTGCACAAGTCCGACACAGCCACGTTAACGAGAGCTAAAGTTAGTATGAAGAGCATTTAAATTATTTATAAAAAGGTCAGCAGAGTTCTATTTTTAGGACCATATTCTCTACTCTGCTCTGCATTGCAGGTCTCTTACGCAAAGTAATGAAACCAAAGGAAACAGAGCAGCACATAGTAACACATTTAAAATCCATCATGAATCAAAGAGGAAAAGGTTACTCTGGGTGTCACTCCAACAAGCTCTATGTGTTTTAGTTCAAACATGGTCTTTAATCCCATTGACTTCCATGGGAGTGTAGCCTACATGAAAAGTAAATACATAATTAAATGTTTTGGAAAGGAGGAAAGGGCCTGAATGTATGCTTCAAGTCAATCACAAACCTATTTTGCTGAACTGAGCCTTTCAAATCTTAAAGAATCTATACCCATCCCAGCAATAGAAATAATGGACAAAGTCATCCAGCTGTGGTGGCAGAGCATGAAATCTCAATGTTCACATCTTTCCAATGCAACTGCTACACCTGTGTATTTTCTTACTGCCTTACAGTTCACTGGAATATGTCATGGGGGCTATCAAAGCTCAAAAGAAAAGAAGCCTCCTGATTTCACAAGAATATTCCTCCTGCACAGGACCCCAGCCAAAGGCTGTGTCCTGCTACAGTACCTTTTGGGTCATCTTCAGTTCCTGTTTTGCAGATTGGAGTTGGTTACGATACTCCATCACTTTAAAGTTGGCTGTGGTTAATTTTTCTTGCAATGCTTTCATTTCTGGACTTTCAGCCTTTGAAGAGAAGAATGTACTTGGTAAGAACAGAATCCTCAGAAAAAAATGAAGTGATGAAGTGTCATGGATCCATCAGGATCACAGAATCGTTTTATAAAATCATGGAGTCCAACTCCTGTCCCTGCACAGGACAATCCCAACATTCAGACCATGTCCCTGAGGGCCTTGGCCAAATGCTGCTGGAATCTTGTCAGGCTTGGGGCCATGAGCACCTCCCTGGGGAGCCTGTTCCAGTGCTCCACCACCCTCTGCCTCAAGAACCTTTTTCTCATGGCCAACCTAAAAACCACTAGTGACAGGGACACATCCTTATCATCAGGAAAGGATGAGAGAACTAAGATCAGCTTCTGATTTCCTCTCTTCAATTACAATTCATACCAAGTTTCCTTCTATCATCTTCAGAGTTGATTGCTTGATTCCTCCATCACCACCTCCAAGAGAATGTATTTTTTCCACGGCTATCTGTAGCTGGGAACACAAAAAAAAAAGCCATGCTATTATAGAGTAGATAGAGTGAAGAGCATGCTTCCATGGAAGCTTAATTAGAAAAAAAGAATAACAGCAATTTTGATGATCTTGAATGTTTCTTTACTTTAGGAAAAAAAAAAAAAGCAACTTAATTTCCCTGTGTTTTTGAAATACAATCAATAGGAAAGCACACAATTTTTCTTTAAATGCTTTCCAAAGAACCATGTGTTATTTTACTTTGGAAAAATATCAGTGAAAATGTCTCTGACTTGCTAAGATGGGATCAGTTATCTAGTATGGAGACTTCTGTGAGATTTTATCACCATAGTTTCATAAAATAAGTGTTTATATAGAAAAATGCAAACACAGTACAGCCCAGTACAGATCAGGATGTTGTCTCTAGATTCTGGACTACCTACTCTTTAGGAAAATAATAGGATATTCCATAAAAAAGCACATAGTTCTATTTACCAGATGAATTTAAAGGGAGAAATTACTATTTCGTAATGTTGTTAAGGCTCTTTTTCTTTAGCTGGGATAGCTCTAAGGTAGCATTTCTCAACCCATGAAGAAAATGTCTCTCATCGCTTGCCATAGTTTAGGAAGGCAGGAACCTAGCCCCTGCTCCTCTGAAGTGAATTTGGAGCTGGAAATGCTGGGAAGTGTTGCTTTGAAGGGCTAAGACTTCTTTGAGGTGGGCAGAAACTCTTTGATTACTTGCCTGAATAAATGAAGGCTCTAAGGAACAGCTTCTTCATTAAAGTGGTATCTGGGGAACAGAGAGTGTAACTCAAACCCAGCTCTAATCTTACCCCTTCTTTGGAAGTAAATCAATGGTTAGGCCACCCCTTCTATTCAGTTCATAAAATCTTTTAGTCAGTGGACTGAGAATGAGACATTTCAGCTAGTGTTGGCAGCTGCTAAGTCAAATTCTAAGGAAATTCTCTGCAAACATCTGTTTGGAGTCTTTGTTGACACGTCCCGCCCTTTGCTAAGCGATTGCTCAATGGCCACCCCTTCCATTTTGTTTGTGGGAACAGAGTTGTGTTAAAGCCTTTATGATTTACATATTTTTCAGTTTTCATACAAGCAAAGAGCTAACAATTCAGGAAAATAATAGTGTTTTCCAGTGGTGAAAGTACATATTGTGATGCAATTTGTAAGGTACCATCAGCACAATTCATTTAGCAAAGTTTAAGGCGTCTAGGAGTGGGATAAGGATGAGACTCAGATCACAAATTAACACATTCACTGCTTTCAACGTGGGTGTGTCTATAAAGAATGGAGTCTAGTTGTTACAATCAGGGAAGTCTAGTTTTCAGCTCACTCTACAGAAGACACCTACATTTAAGGCCAGGTTGGATGAAGCTTTGAGCAACCTGGTCTAGTGGAAGGTGTCCCTGCTGCTGGCAGGGGGGTTGGAACTGGATGAGCTTTAAGGTCCCTTCCAACCCAAACCATTCTATGATTCTATGATTACATCAAGAGGATGCACTGACTACGGACTTGCTTTTGTTGTCCACCCAC